ATATCATTGTGGGAAAATTCTACTACCAGTCCTTCATCACCTTACACGAAATAGGGTGAATACATATTATGGACTAACCACGGACCAAAATTTAGAATGTGCAGCTCTTAATCCGATGCAACTTGACTCTTTTGATGCCCCTGGCCTGATGGCTTCAGCATGTACATGAGATGTTAACATGTCGAGACTAGACGTTGCATGGACACAAGCCGGGTCCGATTCCCGCCGGAAGTGTTGATGAGACCAGGCTGGGCGGGGTCGAAACTGCAGTCCTCTCCGGCCCGGGTGAGAATTCCTTTTGAGAAACAAGAGTATGTGCAAGTCAACAGAAGCGGGAGACTTGCTAATGAGATTTTGGAAAAAATCCATCACCAGACCTTCATCATCTTAAACAAAATAGGGTGAAAGACTCTCAATAATTGCCCTACTGATAGTCTTTAAGTCTATTTATAAATCGTAAATAGCGTCATATTTGACAAGAGGATCACTTCGTTCAATCCCGACGGATCTTCATGCCTACGAGTGGGTAAGAATGAATCATTCGGATCGCTATTCGTCAGTTCTGTCAGCTCATGTCAGATTTTTGCGATTGCAGAAAGGTAAGTCAAGCTATCTTCTGTAGACCATCCTCTCAACTAGGCCTGCAAGTTGGTCTTCAAGAGCACCAGCCTCCGAATTGAGGATATGCCTTCTGACGGGTTTGAGTCCCAAAAGTGAAGAGGACCGATGCCTTGCCGAGAGTCCATCTATCGACTACCACGAGAAACTGGGGTTGGCAGTCAGTTCTACCAACAAAGGGTTTGTCTTCAATCGACGACCAGATTCAACCTCATTGTGCACGTGGCTACCAACTCTTGCGGTTCAGGCGGGAAGGATAAAAGAAGAATGATGATTTTGCTTTGAAAGTCGACGCGTCATGAGCCCCAAAAAGAGCCGCTCTCATTCGAGCCGGGTTGAAGGCTCGAGTTCGCCAGACCCGGACCGAAAATGATGGAATGTTGAGATAGAACCGACATTCTGCAAGTCGCAATTGTTTGCGGCTAATTTTGGGCACAGTAAAGCCGTTGAAGTCGACTGGCGACTTGGCTTTGTCAACCTCATGTCCATGGCCCGAGTCCGGTGGGGGGTGCCGGTGGGAGGCGAAGAGGCATGGTCGACTGTGCACAGTCAAGCCCGCTTTGCAACTCGTCCCGGCCAGATTGACGATCAGTGCAAAGTAATGGACAGTTGCAGTTCATGTGAAAGTGTGTAACGACGAGATTCGCGTAGGTCGAGACCCCCAGAATCCCTTAGAATGTTGTCCTCGATGCAATCTCCTTCGAATCCAAAGAAAATGTGCTGACCTTTCGTTTTACATTGTGGCTATGGGTAATTCTTTAAAAAGAACTTTCGCTGATTTAAGGAGTGATGACTAAGTTTTTCCAGCAATCAATTCGGAATGAGAATAGCTTTTGTTAAATTCAATCAAAACGCAAGGTCTACTTGACAATTATACTACCAATCCTTCAACACTTTGAATCAAGTAAGGTGAATACAGCCCTTATATAAGATATAGTGTTAGTTTCAAAAACACGATTATGAAACAAAAATGTAAAAAACCAACGTATTTGACATTGCAATAGACGAATAAAAGTTGGGTTTCGAGCAATCTCTTGGTTCTTAATTGTCGAGCTTACTTCCATTTCGGGTGAAAATGTTTGGTGAAGAGATTCGAAGGTCGATTCCACCAGAAGTCGATAGCGGTACTTGAACATTCTCGTTGACGCTGTTTCCGAGGCAATCTCCTTCGATTCTGGTAAACGCGTGCCAAGCTTTCCTCCGTCTTGACTCGTTGGCTTGAATTTGGTTGTGACGATGATACCCTGCTCTGATGATGTTCGTCATGTGACGGACGAAAGCTTAGCACTTTTTTACCGAAATCGAAGAAGATTTCCTCGGAAACAGCGTCAGCATGAATCTTCCAGTAAAGCCAATCGACAGCTGGTTAGGAGGAATCCACTGTCGTCTTCGAATCTCTCCACCAAACACTTTTACTCGAAATGGAAATGAGCTCAACAATTGCGTTAGACGTTACTTAATTTCGATGCGATTGGCTTTCGAGATTACCGGTAATTTTGGAATAGAAAATGAAATTTCGTCCCTCATACCACTCGACGGATAGATGGAATTATGGAGAGAAAGATGGTACAAGTCAACAGAAGGCTGAGATAAGACTCCTTTGAAGACTTTCATTTCGTATGGGAGTACATGCTGAAAAGATTCGTACGTTAATCTCACCAGAAGACGTCGGTTGATTCGCGTTGTACTGCAGCCATTTGGCATTCATACGACGCTCAGGTTGATACAGTCCACGAGACATCCTTCAACATTTCGGTCAAAGACTGGCTAAGCTTTCGTTCTGCTTACTTCCATTTCGAGTGAAAGTGTTGGGTGAAGAGATTCGAAGGTTGGTTCCACCAGAACACGACGGCGAATTCCTCTTGACCAGCTGTCGATTGGCTTTATTGGAAGATTCATGCTGACGCTGTTTCCGAGGCAATCTCCTTTGATTCCGGTAAAAAGGTGCTAAGCTTTCGTCCGTCATATGACGGACATCATCATCTTCACCCAACACTTTTACTCGAAAATGGAAGTAAGCTCAGCAATTATGAAGCAAGAGATTCCTCAAAACACAACTTTCGTTCGTCATACCACATGACGATCATCGCCAGAGCCGGGACTCATACTTGCAAAAGCCTCAAGTTATCACCAAGTCAATGAGAATACAGGACTCTATCTTATTTATATATACTCATAAATATAGTTATTATTATTATTTGGGGCTTTTACAAGAATGAGTCCCAGCTGTGATTATGTTAGTCACTTGACGAACAAAGTTCCAGCCCGTCTTAGCCCGAAACGTTGGAGGATGTCTCGTGGGCTGCATCCACCTGAACGTCGAATTAAGTCCAAACGGCGGCAGCACAACGCGAATCAGCTGACGTTTTCTGGTGGGATTGACCTACGCATCACTTTATCATGTACTTCCAT